AGAAAAGTATCAAAACACTTAGGTCTAATTGTTCTAAAGGGAAAGGTTTCTATACTTTCCCTGCAGCATGCTTCCCTTACCATCCAGCCGATCAATTTTGAAAAAGAGAGCTACTCATCGTTTGATCTCAGATCCGACGTCTCAAAGTGTTTTATTTTTAGTTTGTTTTTACAAATTGTATGAATATGAAATTTAGTACTTGTCATCTTCTCATTGGGGCGCACCTATAAAAAATATTAAACATAATTTTTCGATAAAATATAATAACTAAAATACTCTTTAAAGCATTTAAGGGTATTTTGGTCATTTTATTTTATTGAAAATAAATTATTATTTTTCACTAATGCAAGTTTAATAGAGGATTCGAAGTCCAAAATTTAGTGTCAAAATAGTTTATAGAAAAAAATTAAAAATAATAATAATGTAGAAACGTGATATTATGATTAGAAACCATCTTAACCCTTCATTCATAATGGCAGGTTGGATAAAGGAAAATATATAAATTTTATGCCGTAGAAGAAGCATACAAAGCTTGCCCTTGTCTAAATATTGGAAGTGCGTGTTGGATATAAGGCCGTGTTTCGTAAAAGGAGTAACGAGTTGAATACCCTTATGCTGCGCTGGAACCATCTTTAAGAAAAAAAGAGTAACGAGTGGAATACCCTTATGCATTAGTAAAATATCTAAAATGCTTTTATTTATTTATTTATTTATTTTAATTTTTTTAAAAAGGAAAGATTGTCTAACGTTTATTTTTTGGTATAGTTTGCATATAGATGCATTTGTAGGTGTAGAGGTAAGGTGCAGTTTGCATATAGATGCATTTGTAGGTGTAGAGGTAAGGTGCAGCTTCAAATTTTATCATGGTATATAATTTTGATGGAAAATATTCTTAGGATTATATCAAAATCTATTTTTATATCTAATTATAAAATTATAAATTTAAAAAATGGTTAAAATCAAGTAGATCTATAAACATATAAAAATCTTGAAAATGGACGGTGTAGACAATATGTTGTAAAATACATTATTTTTTATATTTAAATTCTTTTTATTTTTCATAGTTATACATCTCGATGTCAAGATGATCAAAGGGTATTTTTCAACATTAAAACTACCTTTTCTGATGGATTTTTTGGGGGGGCATCTGTAGTTCTATATTATAAGGTAGCATCTTTATATACACTTTTTTTTTTTATCTTTTGTACATTGGGGTCACAATCATTCAACTCATTAGATGTTTGCTGGTTTGGGGTGAGTCACAAAGTCTGAAAATATTTTTTGAAACTTTATGTCCATTCAATGACACTCTCACAACCACCTATTTTAAATTTAAAGGACATGAATAATTATAATCTCTATTTGCAAAAACTAAAAAAAAAGTATAGAATGAGATCATTTACCTTTAGTATAAAGTGGTCACATTAATCTTGACCATTAGACATGAAAGACCATTGGACATGAAATTGGATGACTGCAGTTATTCCATTGTCCAAGCTCAAACTTCAAAATAACTTTTCCCAAACTTTGTGACACATACAAACTATCAAATAACACATGAGATGGTTACAAGTAATTGTGACCACCTCGATTAAAAAGTAAATGGTCTTATTGTATACAATCCCAAAACTAAGGGGACTCTTTGTAGACAATATATATATATATTTTAATTGTTGTAACACTTGATTTTAACATTTTACTAATTCTCTACATAGTATGTATTATAATGGGTATTTTGAAAATAAATTAAAAGATATAGGTATAATATTAAACAATAAATATATTAGATGTATTTTGATAAATTGACCTAAGAGCATGGAATTCAAGCATGCAGGGGAATACGTAAAGGCATATTCCTTTTTTTTTTATTGACTTTCTCGGGATTAAAACCTACAATTAATAAGTTGAGGGTTTCACTCAGGTACTTCTTCAAAAAGATCTTAAAAATATTCATAATCGATGTTTCGGGTGTGGATCCTAAAGGAGCAGGAATTTTAGTAATTTGACCCCCCTCAAGACCAAATGACACCGGTACTTTTGCGTGTTCCGGGTGGGGCAGTGTCCCTACTTGTTCAGGCCCTGCCGTGAACAAGGGGAATTTGAGCATTTTCTATGTTTTCTAAAGTAGGTACATGAGTGAAATAAGATTTACAAAGTAATGTCTCTAAAGTTGATCAAGATCTGAATGATAATTTCCCTATTTTATTCCTACTTGCTCCACTCACAACAATCTTTTTGTCATTCCCGTTTACTTTTAAAGCATCAGACGTTACAAGTATTTAGTCGTATCTTGCAGACCACACTATACATTAATCCCCTAGGTAAGTATTTTCAATAGAACAAAATAACTTTTCAATTTCTAAATACTTAAATAACACCGTTCGAAAGTTCGACAAGTCGCATTCAATATGAGGTCGTAAATTATTTTTTTTAGCCACACATAATGTGTATAAATTATTTATTTGTATTATTATATGGGATTGTATATTATGAGACCATTCATTTTTTTACAAGAAGGCCACAACTTTTCTTAACTATTGGATGTGAAATCTAATATATTAATCATTGGATGTGAAATCTAAATATATTAAAATATATCACAGCTTTTGAGAAAATTTATTTTGGATTCTGTGCTCAATTTGTACCAATCTCATTTCACATTTAATGGTTGACAATGATTGCGACTTTCTTGTATCAAAAAAATAAACGATATACATTTCTTTATTATATTTATTATGAAATTTGCCTCCCAAAATTTGACGTGGTGCAAATACTCCCATAATTTTCACCCGAGGGAGAGAAAACTCACTTTTCAAACATAAATCACACGAGGTGAGACTTTTGAATACGCTTAGCCATTGCCATTAGATGACGAGGAATTCAACTTTCCATTGTGGTATGCGATGGGGTTGGATTGGAGTTGAATCACAACCATAATAATGATTTCAAAAGAATTATAAATTGATGGTCGGTTCAAGATCAAATCATCAAAAGGCAAAATTGTTTTGATATAGTTCAAAACACTTATAAAGGAATATTATATTCATGCGGGAATATATTGTCCATTTACTCCATGAAGTAAAATCCTCTTAGAATTAACTTTAGGCCTCAAATTTCGAGGATGTTACCTTTGAAACCCATAGATTAACTTCAATGAAAATAAAAATAAAAATCCTAATTGCACATTCTATGCACATGAAAGAAATAAATATCTTGAGATTGAATAAAGAGACCATCCGATTTTTAGATGGTAACATCTAAGTGTTAGAAAACTCAAATTTTAATCATCTGGTGAATCTTAGGTGGTTCCCAAAATTTAAGATCGAAAAAATCCTCCCAAATAGGTATTCTGACTCAAGGAATAGAAATAAACTATGCTAATGAAGGAGCGTAGTAACCATGCTCGTTATGAAAACTCATAAATGCTGGTGGAGATAGCTGGAGAGAACAAAAGATGTTTGAAAGTGTCAATTACATTGGGGCCACATACATATTAATATATCACTATTTACAAATAGATTCAAGTCGATATTTTATGTGCATCCACTTAGGCACTGACTCAAATAATTAGGATAAAGCTTAGATGATGATGATAATTTTATGTACATCAAGCTGTCCTTCCAGTATCCAAAATTTTACCACGATCAGATGTGCCATCATTAAGAACCAGCTTAATCAAGTTCCCCGACTGGTACGGATTGCGGAACAGTAGCACTGCAGATGGTTTCCATGTGTACTGTTAGACTCTCATGGATCTTCTAGGGTCTTAAGCTTACAAAAGAGTGAGGTTCAAAGCAAAGCCTATATGGATCTAAGGTCAATAATCTCTATATCAAGTCATCATAGTTTAAATAGATAAATTTTTTTTATAATTAATAAAAAAGGAAGAGACCTCTTAACTATTTTTTGGATTTGTACACTACTCTCCCATAGAAATACTATGGTCACTATTACCAGCCTATCTATAAATTGGACTAATGTGTGAGACAAGTGTATAGAATTGAAACCAATGACTTGTTTGGTAATACCCACTCTCCAAATCCAACCATCAATGTTGACTCATTGATGTGATGATCGTTGTTGCGCTGCCCAACCATTCACAAGGTTAATGGGATCATAGTAAATTTTCCATTTTCATGACACCAAACAAAAACCATCAGTGCTCCAATCACTTTCGTCACTTTTCAGCTTGGCCATTCATTTTTTGTATGAGGTCACAATCATCTCTACCCTTTAAATTTAAGATAAGAAAACCAATGGTGTCATTTTTATGCGATTTAAAAAAAATGTTTTTTTGGACATTGATTTCGATCAATAACCTATCCTCTAACCACATGAACTATGGATGTTTGTGACCTTTCCATTCCAAAACCAAAATTATTACTGAATACCTGGCCCACATTTTTTTAATAGTTGATGGCTCTCGGTTTGATAATAGTTGAAGTGACAGAAGTTCTGAGAGAGAGAAACAATTAAGGTCACAGTGCTTAGATATTTCGTTGAACATATCAATTTTGAATACATGATGAAGAATTACAATTTCCTTTGGAAATGAATGAGAAACATGGGGACACTCTATATTGGGGTTGGTGTTGCATATCACACTTAGACGTGTTAAACAGATAGATGCTCGTGACTATATGTTAAGTGATGTCACTAATTTTAGTACAATATCAACACTTTCTACAAAGGTGTCTTATTTACTACTTCATTAACAATAAAATAGAAGGTGCTCAAGTGGTAGAGATAACTTTCCTAGTGGAGATCGAGTTCGAATTCGAATCCAAATATTGAATATAAAATTTTTGACGTTAATTTACTTTTTCTTGAGTTATTTAAACACCAAAAACTTTATGCAACAGGGGGATTCGACTAAAGCGCCTTTCCCTAGTGGCACATATGATTTTTGGAGGCGATGGCTTCAAGTGGCATCTCGTGCAGATACTGCAGCACTTCCCAGTTTAATAACCAAAACTTGAATCAAAATATCAAAACCGATGGAGAAAACTGTGATTGATCTCAGAATTTATAAGAAACTGATGCTCATCGCAAGAGAATTGAATAATTTAACATCCTTATGATACAAGAAATGGCAAAAGAAGAGCGAAACGTGCTTTTATCACTCTTCCATTTCTCACTCCACTACAAATTTCAGTTCAGTGGAGGCAACCGCAAAAGTGATTTCGAGGGAAAAGTACGTGAGGAGCAGATGGTTCGAGTTTCAAAGGGCTTCTCTAAGTTGAAAGGTCCTCAGAATGGCCCTCCCCTTGTCATATTCATTGAGTTCAACTAACATGCACTTCAAACGACGAGCAAGCCCAGTTGTCTCCTCTGTACTAACACCCAATGCATGCTTTTTCTCAAGGGTCTTTCCAAGACTCATCAAGTAATCCACAAGTGGCTGCAATTTCGAACTGTTTCATACACCAAAACACAAAGTTCAGCTAAATACATAGCAAACCAACAAAAAAGGTCAACTTTCTATCTTATGCAGAACATACACAGGTACAAGGAATATATCCTATATAGAAATAAAAGAAAAATAAAACGCATTGCAAGTATACTCCCAATCTACTACTGCTCAAAGAAGTGACAAATCAAGAGCAAAGAGGCATATATTTACTTATCAAAAAGAAATGAAGGAGAGTCATCCCTTTGAGGCCTGCTCCTTCTATGAAGTACGATTTAAAATAATAATAACAATAACACCTTGAAAGATAAAGAGAGATTTTTGCACCATCTTAATAGGTGGATCAATCTTCTTACTCAAACCATGAAGCACCATTTCTTTTCTCACTACTTCCATCCATGTCCCTTGGGGCCTTTTCCTTGCCTTTTTAGACTTCCACTTGAACCAAATCACCCTCATAACCATGTTTTTCTAGGTCGACGTTGCACATGACCAGACCACCTAAGTCTTCTCTCCCTCATTTTCTTGCCTATTGGAGCTACCCTTAAGTTCTCTCGAATGTATTCATTTTGAATGCACACGAGAGAATATTTAACAAATTATCAGTTTTCTTTTTGTGGTAGGTCAGCAGTGGGATTCAAACTTGGAATATAGTATTACAGTTGTCAACACCATAACCAATCAAGCCAGGTGCTAAATCCTAACGAATTATCAATTTTACTGTTCTACTGTATTCTCTACATGTTTGTTTTCTTGTCTTTTTCTTAACTTCCCTAGTTATTGTCATGTTTGTTAAAACACTTTTATTACTCAAACCAGAATATCCTATCTATGCTTTAATTTTATGTTATTAATTACCATGACAAAAGGAAAATTTACATCCCTTAAGTATCTAATGTACTACCTATTTATATGATGAATAATCAAAAAGTGAAAAAGGCATTCATTCACATTATAGATTACCTTACATGCTATTTCTTTGTGCCCAACGAAATTTTATTAAGTGCCACATAACTAAACTCATAAGATTCATAATCTGCTGCCATGGTCTAAAGGTGAACTGACAAAAAAAACTTCCAAAGAATTATAATTACTCGGAATAATGAATCCCTATCCATTCATGTACTTCCAAGATTTGAGGGAGGCAAGGAAGGGGTAGTAGTAGGAGTTTACCATCATTCCATTTTCTTTTCCAAACATAACTTTACCATAATTTCATGAGAGAAGTAACATTTCTTTTTTCCAAACCGTACCCCAAATGTTCACCACACTAATCTCAAGGGCCAAAAGGGAAAAGATATAAGGATAAGAATAATCAGTCATGTAAAGAGGTGATCCCATCCAAAGTTCTTGCTACAAACTTGGGCAGGCACTAAGTCATACCAAGTCCCCTTTACAAGACACTTTTGTCAAGGGCTTGACCATGATTGTTCATGATTTTTTTTTTGAGAATTTGATTGTTCATGAATGTTAGGACATAAGAAAAGGATGATAAATGTTTAGGATCTAGAAATAAGAAAGGCAGGTTCAAAATCGCCACAATTTTTTCCAAAATCCTTAACCATGCCAACAGCACTCCAGGCCCAGAAATATTTTTTTACCCGGTTCACCTACAATCCCAGCCTTTAAAGCCCTCCATATTATATATCCAACCAAAATTCCTTCTTTCTTCTATTTTATGGGACTCGACAAAATTCTTTCACTAGCCTTCCATCTTTCTACCTAATCAATTAGATTCATTTAGCTGGTGAGAACTTATTCACCATATATTAGATTATGAATACCAAGGCGTCTATGCTCCACCGGAGAAAATACACTAATTATGATATGAAACCCATTCTCCAGAACTCCACAACCTTTTGGTTTCTACAAAATTTAACTCCTTTACATCTGTTTGTAATTGATCACCATTCACAATATTAGTTATGATTAGTCCATGGATGCCATCATGAAGTGAAAGCAATTTCCAGGCAGGGGAAGAACACCATAAGGCTAAAACTTCCCACCATATTGCCAAATTTGCGAGGAATAGGGCTTGAGCCTTGAGATTGATTGCTTACAATAACAATTGCTACGCTGTGTCTCAACTTCAATTCCTACAGCTGAACTACCCAAAATACTCTGCTAAAAAATCTGCTTCTATAGAAACATGACAAACTCCTGAATGCAATATTAACAATATAGTTCCCAGATTTATCCAAAAGTCACCTCTAGTCTCCAAAAGGACAAACAGTCAATTTATAACATTAAATAGTATTCAGAGAGTCAACCTGAAAAAGAGTAATGTGACTGACAGGGGACAACATGTTACTGTTTAAGATTATGATTAGTTAAGAATAGCACATCCCTAATGTGCTACTGGACAAGAGGAACCCATTTCTCCGAGGTCAATTACAGTAATACTCGTACCCTTAACCTAACCTGAGACAACACATTATTCCATCCCCTTCCAGTTTTTTTGTTTGATAAGTCACAGAAAAAGTACAATCCAAGACTACAGAGAATAGATATATGGACTTTCGAGCATAAGAGACAAACAAAAGAAAACTACAAACTCATAAATTCGATTTATATTAAAATATAAAAGGCATGCCTAAATATCAGTGCCACATGACCAAAATTTAACAGTCATTCCTGAATATCAGTTGCACTAGCATAACTCTCCAATCCAAAATAGAGATGAAGGACCTACCTTCGGTCTCCAATGAGATCACGACCAGTCCAAACACCTGCTAATGATGCGACAACCCGCTCAGTTCTTGTGATGGCATCATGAATATTTGGCATAATATTTCGGACATGAGGAAGAACTCTTGCACAGAGAAGTTCATCAAGAACCAGCTGTTCTAGAACTGGTAGAGCAATAATATCTTTCCAAAGGCAGATATTTTTCATCAAACGAACAGATGTCCCAAACCGATAGGCAGCGATTTGTGCAGCTTGAGGCACTGCATTTATCACTAGAGTGCTCCAGGTTGGAACCTGTTGATCAAGAGATGATAAAGATTGATCCTAAGAAGTAAAAAAAAGGGGGCTGTATACCATGAAACCAATTTACCATTACTACAATTTGATGGCTTAGAGTGTGTCAAGAAGTTCCAAGAAATTTTTTTTTGAATGTTGAGTCTACTCAATGATATATTTACAACAACCTGATCTAAAATCTGATGAACAAAAGTGATTTTGACCTTCTTGTACTAAAAGTAAATGTTCTCTTTGTATACTTTCTTAAAAAAATATCCAATGCATTGAATTAAGAAAAAGTAAATTGTAATTCAATGGACTTAGATAAAACCATTATCCACCTGATCATTACCATCCATTGAAATGATGGTTGGTGATGAAAGAGGGTGACATCCACCAGCAGGGTTACATCCTGTTGTGGTGCCCACTCTCCATCTCCATCGCCATCTATCACTTCAATAAACAGTGATGACCCAATCCTATAGGTTGTGAAGTCCTGGAGATTAGAACACATAACTTGAACTAAATAGCAAATGAATCAAAACAAATTATCTTGCATATAAAAATTAGGAAAACCTACTTTGAGCTTCGAAACAGCTTCTGATAGACGAGTTCGAACAGAGACCAAAAGTTCCTGAAGTGCCTCACTTGAAGCAGGAATATAATCAATAAGCAACTTCGTAGCAGAAACTGCATTTTTGGTCTCTTTGGTACTGAGCATGTCCCAGCAGTGCGCAATGTCATGATGCAAAATTGGAAGGGCCACCTTTTCTACTAGCTTAGGAATAAGATCAGCATCACTATCATCTGATTCGTAACCACTAGCACCTGCCTTAATGCCATAATCAAAGAGCAAAGAGTGCCTGAAATAAACCAAGGACAAAAAATTAGAGATCATTGAACAAATTCACTAATGGATATTAAATGATCTGCAGAAGAGGAGATACGGAAAGTATACTCTAATGATCTAATCCAATGGACTATGGAAACCATATACATAGGATGTATTCACCCTCCAATAAGATGGAGCGTGACGATCTTGTGACTCCCAATAACATGGAGAGTGATGATCTTGTGGCTCCCTGCCTCCCTCCCTCCAATGCTCCCATCAGACAATGGCTAGTCCAGGAGATTATAGTATATTCCCTAAAAACAAACCTAAAATCTGTCTAAAGATCATACCATCTCATATCATCGAAATCCGTATATTTATAGAGAGGGTCCCATTTCAAAAGCTCCAATCTCACATAAGGGGAAAATATTGCAGATGCATTCATCGACATGTAAGCATCACGATAAGTCGGTAAATATTGCCTCTTCCACCCCTCAAACCTCACTTTAACAACTGAAAGGTTCGAAAACTCATCAGCTGCATCACTGAAAATTTCACTCGCAGTTTGAAGCAGCTCATCACAACTAGACCGATATGCGGTAGAATCACTATCACTTTCATCAGTGCTAGACTCCCCTTCTATCCTCTGATAGGAACTACCATCCCCGACAGTTCGGATTCTCTTGGATTCAGACCAGGCCTTTCTGCGCTTTCGAGCCTCAGCCCTTCTCTTTGAATCCATTCGTTTTTGTAAGTTCACATCTCTACCAAATTCATCCAATTCGACTGGTAAATTGGATTGCTCTTTTGCTGCTAAAGATGCAGCCTGAGCTGCTGATGCAGCAGAAGAAACACTGCCACCTTTGTTAAAAACCGAAATTGCTGCATTCACTGCTGCCTCAATTTCTGCCATTTCATCGGCATCATCATCGGCTCGCCTTTGTACAATTGCGGATGCCCGTTCTTCGTGAAGTCTCTGCATTTGTTCTTCAAGTTCCTCAATGAAAGGAGCCTTGTCCTGAAAGAGAAATCACAGAACTCAAGAATTTAGTAATGCGATATTAGACAATCAGAAGTAAATTTGGGTAGAACTTAAGGATTCACAGACCTACGCCAAGCTAAAAGGTGGCCATCATGTGCAATATTTCACATAGTGAGCTGCACATTGTAAAGACTTGCCATCATGTTTCAAAGTTGTCAAAAGGAAAAAGTTGGGAATTTATGTCGAAAGCTGATAATGGACTAAGGTCTGAACAAAGACCTAATTTATTGGAGTAATTAAATTCAATTGTAACTTTAGGAACCAATAACCAAAGAAATGCACTAGTTTGGGAATGTGAGGCCTAAAAAGTAAATAGGAATACCTCTTAATTCTGAACGAAAGGCATACATTAAATAGAAAATATTTATAACATGGAATTAACAAGTTTGATACAACCCCCAAAGGTTAGTACACTGCTTATCCAAACTGCCACTCTTCCCACCACATCTGTTATCATTAGATCCTACAAATGCCCTCTCAAGGCTCATACATGGAAAGCTGAGACGCGTTGATGAACGAAAGAGTATCAATTATCCCTCAGAAGCACCATTCACATCCTCAATACTCGTCATTTCCTTATCAACAACCATAGGTAGCCTTTAATAAATGATTTTAAATTGTCAAAGTACCTAAAGATCTATAATTTTTGACATATATATTATACAATATAAATATGTCTATATCTTTCCCCTCCCCCCTGCTCTCTCTCTCTCTCTCTCTCTCTCTCTCTCTCTCTCTCTCTCTCTCTCTCTCTCTCTCTCACACAGACACACACACACACACACCCACCCACCTGAAATACCTAGCACCTCCTAGGTTTGATATCTTGAATTACCAGTTGGCTTGGGTCCTTGAAAGATAGCACATTTGTTTAGGTAGTATGAACAAGGGAGTATGGGAGCTCAGCATAGCCAAATGTATTCTCAAAACCCTTGGTTCTTTCTTTTTTACCCCTTTTAATCTAATTATTGCATTTTCCTTGTCACAAATAGTTTTTCAATAAATTCCTTGTTGTATGTATCGTTCTTTACATTTAGTCAATAAACTCACAGATCACCTTGGGTCAAGGCTAACTAACCAAGAATGGGCCTGTGAACTTTGAGGGCATGTAAGGCATGCTCTTGAGTAACTTATTTTGATGGCTGAATTATTACTAAAGATAATCAGTTTACAATGTTGTATTTTATTACTTTTTTAGTTGAAAATACCCAAAAAAACTCAAGTTCAGGTTCATGAACTACTCTTAGAAACAAATTTATGATGAAAGGACAGAACTAAATGTAGCCACTATATCTTTGTTTTGATAATAGAGAAGTCAAACTATGCTTTTGTTTTGTATCAATGAACCTTATATAGCATAACAACATAGAACTAAAGCTCCTAATTGAAAAATTGATTATTAGTTTATAATTGAAAGCATAAAAACTCATTTTGGTGCTCTGCAGAAAGAAAAAGGAGACAATCAACAAAGAAGAGAAGAACATGCTCTTATGAAATTTTGACCCAATAGAAGAAAAAAAGAAAAGAATGATCTAACCTGTAAAAAATCGCATATTACAGATACAAAGTCTCGAAGCTTTTGCATGAACAAGTACTTCTCCCCAGCAGCTGATAGAGACTTTTCGAGATCAATTATATTTGATAATGAAGCAGACAAATTGTTATCAGTCCTAACAATGGAAGATATGGTTCTGTCATGAGATTCCTGATAAGAATGATACATGAATTAGCAAATCAACATCTCATTTGATTAACTCTGATTCTAGAACAGCAAAAAATTTCACAATTTTATGCAGTCAAGTTACTAAAAAAAATCAAGAATCAATCACCCAAACCAAGATACATTCCCTCCTAATGTTAATGGTAACGGTCCCATTAACTTATTAGAAAGCAAAATAGAGGTTCAAATTTTTGTTACATAATGTAAAAAGTAAAAGCAGATTTTCTTCCCAAGACATTTGAATGCAAATTATAGACAAAGCACTAAATAGAATTACCGAAGCAAATAAATCACAGTAGTTCCAATTAACATTTTCATAACAAAATAATATAAATCACTGTAAGAGCCTTTTGAGGAGCAATCTAGCCAGATAGAGTATCATCAACTCAAATAGGAGACCAAAACCAGTAAATAATACCAAAATTGCACTAAGAAAACAAAAAAGTAAAATCTCCCCATCTTCAAACTAGTGGAACTTCGCAAAAGCCACTTACCTTCAATCTTGCCATGGAATCCCGCAAGGCTTGAGTGGCCACCTCAGCTTGTTGAGATGTGGTCATAAATTCGACACTCCTAGTAACCCCAACACCTAAATTCGACACCAACCCACTTGATGCTCCATGATAGGAACCCCCTGAATAAACAGAGCTCTGAACTGCCTTAACTGAACCAGCTGACGCCACAGACTGAACACTCCCTCTATTTGAATTATCATCCATTCTCTTACCAAGAGCCTTTCTAAATTGCTCCTCTTCCCATTTCTTGTCTTCTTCATCATCATCGTCCACCTCTGTTTCTCTCTCCTCTCTCTTCAATTCAAACACCTTCTCATCTGCATTTTCGAAAACCCCCTTTCTTGAACTGTTGTTTCCCTCTCCTAATAATGCAATCCTACCCTGAAATTCACTCTCGTCATCGCTTGAGCCCAACCCATCGGAATCCCTCATCGATCGAGCACCTCCACTATCTAGAGAAATGTAATCAGGGGCCATTCGAGCTTGACGAAGCCTCTCTCTTTTCGCCTTAATCGCATTAATGGTCGCCTGATCAAGCACTGGAGAACCCACCTCCTCTTTTGGTTGCCCAATACCCATCTTTCCCAAACTGCTCTCTGCCTCTTCTTTCTCTCTACTAAACTTCTCTCTATCATTTTCCATGCTTTCTCTCACTTGGGTCTTCTCGGATTTCCTCTCTTCCAATATGGGTTTCACCAAACCCTTCAAAACAATAACTGGTTCAGCTGGTTTGGTCTCAGAAGGGGGTTTCGACCCGCCTAGGGTTTTCGTGTTCTTCTGCAACTCGAGAAGCTTCTCCTTTGTGTACTGACCAGCTTGTGGCTGGACATTAGATGGAACAGAAGGGGATTGAATAGAGGTTCGATCCTTACCAGCTATGATTTTGTGAGAGGAGCCATGAGAAGAAGAAAGGCCCGGTTTCTTCCTAATTGAACGTTGGATATTGGGACTTCCTCCGTCTTCTTCATCGAAGCTGAGCAAGTTACGCTGTGGTGGCTTGGGCCCCGACCTCTCCGATTGGTTTTTTTGAGGAGCTTCTCCATCGCCTGCAAAAGAAAGGAGCTTGGAGCCCTGAGAGTTCCTTCCTTTCTTCTCTTTGGTGGTGGGTTTCTGGGTTTTGGGGGAAAGGGGTTTAGAAAGAGGAGGGGCATCGTTATCTTCTCCGTTGCGATCATTGTCGACGTCACCTCGTCGCCTGAAGTTCCTCGATTTGTTCATCTGTTTCTCTCTGCAACTGGAGAATATGGTTCGGTTACATGAAATCTGTCCTCCCGTTTCTCTCTCTCGAAAGTCGACAACTCGAAATGAATGAAGGCGTCCCCCACTCTCTAGTCTCTACGGTCTGCAAATTAAGCTCTCTCCCACTCTCAAAAACCTCCCTCTCGTCCCTGCTCTCTCTCTCAATCTTAACAGAGTCTCTTTCTCTCTCAAAAGCTTTAATCTCGACGGGCCGTCTCTGTACCGATATTTGAGTTCTGGGCGGGCGCACGTGCGGTCCATACTCTATAGGGTATTCCTGTGTGTATTTTATGGAAAATAACATTTATCTTTGGAACAAAGGTTCTAATCTTGACCACTGTATCGAAAATTTGGTGGCTGCGTTTATTTTATTGACCAAATTCAAACTTCAAAATAAATTTTTTTGGATTTGTGATGCTTCCAAACTATTAAATTTCACATCAAATGGTTGTAAGTAATTGTGACCATCTTGTATTGTATTAAAGGTAGACGATCTCATTATATACAATTTTTTATTTTATATCTAAGCTTACATTAATAGCATTAATATGAGGAAAAAAATATATAAAAAGTTGATGCTCTAAATAATCAAATTAGGGCCCAACTAAATATTTCACTACAAGAGGTTGTTTTGATGCCCAAATATCCTCAAATTGATTATCCCGACATCAATATGCATGGACATGAGAAAAAAATGAATTTCAAGTTTTGAAAATAGTGCATCTTGTACGCATTTTGGGACTGTCAATTTCAAGATTTTCATAGATATGCTTGATCTACACTATTTTGAAGCATTAAATTTTGTAATTAAAGATGAAAATATAATTTAAGACTACCACAAACATATCCAATATTAAAACCATATATTCTTGACACAGTTTGAAGGTGAAAATATAATTTAAGACTACCACAAACATATCCAATATTAAAACCATATATTCTTGACACTGTTTGAAGGTGGGCTAGAGCCTCGAGTCTATACAAACTGCACCCGTAATATAATGGTAATTCATTGGCTTGGCAGAATACATGGTGGCAAAACCTTATTTTGGGAAATATCTTTGGTTGATTGATTAATTGGAATATAATCAGTGTTCGCAAAATCGAACCGGAGCGGTTAATTGGACATGGGGTTGGGAGCGGTTTGAACCTGAACCAGACTAACCAGGGCGATTAACTGGACTAACCAGTCAAGTAGATTGTTTTAAAAAAAATGGGTAAAAAACTCTCAATTTTTTTTAAAAAAATAGAAATTCTTAGATTAAGTGTAGACTATTTTATTACATATATTTATCTTAAAAAAAAATTGAAACAACTTTTTATAAATTAATATTCGAATACTATAGTCTTGTACATGAAAATATCTTAGGATATTTTTTGAAGATATTTTTGTCATGCAACCTTTTCTTTCAAGAATTAACATATTATCCCAAACCTTACATGAAAAACTTTCTTTTCTTTGTCTTTTTTTTTTTTACAAAAATTGCTCACATTAGGAATGAAAGTTTACGCACTTTTTTTTGCAAATAACAAAAGTAGCTTGATGCTATTAAATCAAATAAATAGAAAGGACCTCTTCCATGTTGTTAGATAAAGCATAATTCATACAATACTTTTTCGATAAAGTTAAATAAGGCATACTTCACAAAAAGTACATCTCATGATATGCAAAAAAACAAAAAATCAATGCATAGCACATTGATATGTTATACCGTTCTTATATGTATCTACCATATCCATATCAGAGTGTTGTGCATTGATTTGATCAAAAAAATAAGAACAGTATAACAAATAATTTGATCAAAAAATAATTTTATTAAGCAAAATAGAAAAAAACGTCCCATATTTATTATAAAACATAATTAGTTTTTAAATTTTATCAAAAAATAATTTTACTAAGCAAAATTGAAAACCACTTCTCATATTCATCATAAAACAAAATTTTATTAAAAAATTATAAATTAATTAAAAATAATAAATTTGTTAAGCAAAATGGAAAAACAGTTCCCATATTCATCAAAAAACATAATTTTTTATAAAAAAACATAATTTTATTGGAAAGATAATTTTATTACGCAATATAGAAAAAAACTTCCCATATTGATAAAAACATAATTTTACTAAGCAAAATGATTTTTTTTTAGAAAAATCAATTTATCAAACGAGGGATGATTTGAAATTAAGATCACCTTTGTAAAACTCTCTCTCTCTTTGGAATCAGGCCAGATCGGCATCGGCCAGTGACCGATATTGAGTTAGTCGGCCGATTTTTAAAAAATTGGCTGATCTTTTAAAGGCTCTTTCCATAACATTCCAAAAACCTTAATAGAAATAAAAAATAAAGAAAAAAAAAAAGGAAACAGAGAAGAACCAAGCACATACAAGAAGGTGTAGTATTTCATTGAACATAAGGCAATCAAAATTTTTACATGCACTTAAAAAATAAAATATCTCACTTCCATCATTACAAATATAACTATATCAACTTAAAAAACATAATTAAAAAAATCGAGCGACATTGTCATGCACTTATCAAAAAGAAGAATCAATTTCATCAAAAGAATAATTTTATCGAAAGAATAAATTTTTTAAGCAAAATAGAAAAATTATTCATCAAAAAACGTAATCTTATTAAAAATTCGTAATTCTATTAAAAATAATTTTATTAAGCAAAATAGGAAAACACTTCCCAATTTCATCAAAAAACATAATTTTCTTAAACAAAATATATTTTTTTAGAAAAATCGACTTTTCAAAACCCAAAACATGAAGCAACATTTCGAGTAAGAAACGACCCTCAATGTTTGGATAATCAAACAAATGAACATACATGCATTGTAAAGGCTTCGATCATCTTTCAAACGCACCATATCATAGAAAAATATTAGATATTTTTAATTTAATTGAAGAAAAGGTAGAAATTTCAGATCTATGAAATTTTCATGATATGGTGCAACGAAAAAATTTATATAAAAAAATTTACTCAATCATAAATAAACGTGCCAATTTTATTTGAGATATGAAGCCCCAATGATCGAAATCCACAACTGAATTTGATAATAAAAAAACCAATAAGTGGACAAAAAATATGTGTTTTTGGGTAGAACATAGGTTCTCGGAGCAGCAGCTTTTAAGGCAAAAATAAGCCCTTGATTTTTTGTTTTTTGAACAAATTAAAAATTGAACATAGTAAATACTTTGAATAGCAATTAAACCCCTCAATTTTATTCAAGAACCATTAGATATTGAGGAGATTATCGAAAGAATGATGGATATTTTCAAAAACCTAAAAAATCCTCCATTTCATCCAAGAAACTCTTTTTTTTTTTCAATGTTTAAATCAAATTTCTTGTTTTATATTTATTATATAGTGATTTAAACTATTAAAACACGAAGACAAACCAAAAATGGCTGTAAACAAAATAAAAAAAGGTGAAATTTTGGATTCACAGTTTTTCTGCTACATATAACGGTCTATATTTCAAATAACATTGTTATCTATAAATTATCGTGTTATATTGACGAACCGGTTCGGTTAGCTGAAAATCAGCCGATTTTGAGAAAATACCGTCGGTTCGACATCGAACGGACAGGTTTTGGTACCTGTTTTTTTGGAGATGGGCGTCTATTGATTAGGATCGCAAAACCGGCCTTAACCGGAGTCAGTACCTTGCCGGTACCGATTTAACCGGCTGGTTCCAGTTCGAACCGGCCAATTTTGCGAACACTGCTCTCTCTAGACGAAGCACCATTCCAATATAGTGGCCCAAATATGGCACACAAATTCTTTGGAATTTCATCCCAAATATATAAGATTAGGAGTCCATACTAAAAAAACTTCCTATTGATGTTACATATTATATCAAAAGACCAATAGATATATCCAAAACTTTCTATTGATGTTACATATATATCAAAAGACCAATAGATATATCCAAAACTTCCTATTGATGTTACATATATATCAAAAGACCAATAGATATATCCAAAACTTCCTATTGATGTTTATATATATATCAAAAGTCCAATAGATCTATCCAAGAATCTTAATCGTTTTTGGATTTCTATTTCCCTTATTAAACTTATCAATATCAATCTCAATCCCACAAAATATTGGAATATATTAATCCCACATAATATGGGAATATCTCAATCCCGTATTTTCTAATGTGGGTGATTTTGGATAGCACAAAATCCAACAATCTCTACCTTGATATTAAAATCAAGGTGCTTATGGCCATTGAATAGCTTCATAAATTCTTCATCGTTTGCCAAATAAATTCATTCGCAGCTTTATAAATTATTCATCTTCTTCTAAATAACTTTATTCGCTGAAAAATTAGTGCATGCCATCATGTTTCTCCATCTCGAACTTTGCATTCGAAACTTTTACTGTCATATCGATAATCCCAAACCTGGCTTTGATATTACTTGTCATGTACGGAAGCTCTAAACCCGATATGTTGATTTTTGGAAAAAACAGTACGAGAAATAAAACATGAAACACCTAGCACAAGAACACAAAGATTTACATGGTTCACCCCAAAAAGGGTTACATCCACGAGCACAACAAACTGAAATCTACTATACTAATGAAAGTTCCATAAAAAATTTTGGAATAAACCTGGACAAAACAAAGTTGAGCATACTCTTTTAAACTACTATGCTTTCTTCTCTTTACTTCTGGCAACTATTATCGATAACACCATATAGACGTGAGAGCAACGAGAAACTGATTTTCTCTTTAACTAAAAGAATGAAAACCACTCAAAATCTCAATGGGAACCGCTTTCTACAAGAAATAACCACCCAATATCTCAATAGAAACTGCTTTTCACTCAAAATCTCAATAGGAATCGCTTTGCACCCAAAATCTCAATAGGAATCGCTTTTTTACAAGAAATAAGCTTCTAAATCTTAAGAATGAGGAGCGAATTTTTCTTCTCTAAGAGGAAATTACATCTTATACACATGAGTCTTTGTCCCCCTCTCTTTGCACCCAAATCTCAATAGGAATCGCTTTTTTACAAGAAATAAGCCTTTAAATCTTCAGGAATGAGGAACGAATCTTTCTTCTCTAAGAGGAAATTACATCTTATACACATGAGTCTTTGTCCCCCTCTCTCTCTAGAGGAACTACCATTCTACCCAAATGGTGACCACATAAATTCTTTGAACTTTCATCCCAAATGTACAAGATTAGGAATCCATACTAAATAAGAAATTTTCTATTGATGTTACATATATATCAAAAGACAAAGAGATATATCGACGAATCCTACTCCTTTTTGGATTTCTATTTCTTTTAAAACTTATCAATATCAATATCAATTCCACCAAATATGGGAATATCTCAATCCCATATTATATGGTATTTTCTATTGAGGGTGATTTTGGATAGCACCAAATCCAATAGAAATGAGATTTTAGAAATATACTAGGTCTTGGTCTCTCTCTTCCAAACCCTTATATAAGCTATCTATCTTCATAAAATTCTTACTTAGGTGTTATCCCTCCCCTTCTTTTTTTAAAAAAAAGTTATATAAGGTCGTGATCTTGTACCATGGACGTACGGAGTACCTACTATATAAGCTATCTATCTTCATAAAATTCTTACTTAGGTGTTCTCCCTCCCCTTCTGTTCTTTAAAAAAAGTTGTATAAGGTTGTAGCTAAAGAATTAGTAGAAACGGGTGCTTTAAAGTTGAAAAACTTTCCAATTAATATTCTCGTCAAGATGTATGAAATAAAGAGAAAAAAAAAAATTCAAATCCTAAACAATTTACATTTTACAACAAGTTATTTGAACCATCTATTTTTAAGATAACAAGTTATTTGGACCGTCTATTTTTAATATTTTTAAATAGTTTATAGATATGCTCAATTTATATCGTTTTTAAAATTTTAAATTTCGTAATTAAAATTAAACATAAAGTTTCAAGTTCTCGCAAAATTTAAAATTTGAATGTGCTTACTCACCGTTCTTATTCAAATTTTGGGTTATGTTTCTTATTAGGATCCCTCCTGAGATTCATCAGCGATCCTAAACTCCCTCTTTCTCATCCAAACAGTAAACACCAATGGCCCTTTATTAACAACAAGCGCCGTCACTCTTCACCTGTCCTTTCCCTCTGCAGGATTTGTGCTTTATTATTGACGGTACGATCATAAAATCAACTCTCTCCTTTTCTACGTATAATTTTATATTTATTTCGTTTTTCAATTTTGCATATTATGAATTGATGTCTTAAATAACCAATGTTGTCTTTACTGTAAAAATATAATCTGGATTTAAAAAATTATATTTCTAAGTTATGACATTTTATGCTCTTGAATTTAATTTATGATTAATTTTCATGATTTTACCAAGAAATTTTAAATTATTAGTACTTTTAGTTGTCGTTTCCTTTTTTTAAAGAACATTAGTTACCTTTAATGTCAACTGTTCTTATTAAAATTAAGTAAATTTATCCAAATATCCGTGAGAGATGAACTATTTAATATTTAACATTCTATTTGTATCTTTTGATTTAACCGTCAAAAGTTACATGATCATGAGTTAGAATAGTTGCAAACGGGTAAAGTATTGAATGGTTCATCTCTTATAGTTTTTTTTTAAAAATTTCCTTTAAACTTTTTAGACTATGAACAAGTGTTTGCCGTAACATCTAAACAATCCAATGTAATTAATAGTACATATAGCACTTGAAAATCACAAATGTTTGCCGTAACATCTAAACAATCCAATGTAATTAATAGTACATATAGCACTTGAAAATCCATGTTCTCGATCTTTGGGAGCAATCTGCATGGTGACCTGCATTATCTAATTACATTAGATAGTGCATGCTCTAAGGCACGAAACACTTTTAGAGTTCCTTGGCAAAGCCCAAAACCAAATCCTTCTATATAATTATCTTGCATAGCCTCTTTTCCTATAAAAAAAATTCAAATCATAGTTTTTTTTACTTTTTTTAACTATTAAGAACCTATATTCTTTTGTTTATTATTTTCGCATTTTTTAGTTATAAATTTCAAATTTCTATCAAATATATGAGACATGACATGAGAATTGATGGTTTTTTTTTTTTAAGATTTGGTCATGAATATGAAGGAAAATTGATCACACTGATCTTAAACATTGATTGGCTTGAGTAAAATCTATCATTTTACAGCAACCATATATGCTCTAGTATTGAGATTCACACCCTCAAATTAAGAGAAAAAAAAAGAATTTATTATTAGGTTTCCATTACCTCACTCAATGTTTAAACATGGGAATATATACCATAATCCTAGAGATAATAGACTACAGAAAAGCCATAGTCCTCATGATCATTAACAACCATTGAAATGAAGGGCAGTAATGGGGAAAGTGAAAATCACCTCATTCAGATGAGAATAAGCAATCAAAATCCATCATAGAACGCAATATAATCCAGAGAATATCATGCACTAGTTAAAAGCTCCAAACAATTTTGATGATTTACATTATAGATTAAGTAAGTTACATGGTGGAGTAAAAATTAAGAATTAAAGCCAGGATTACTTGAAGCCTGAGATGAATTGTAAGCTGCTGTCTTCGACATATTAACACGAGGATACCCGAATTTATGTCTTGCAAATATCTCCTGCCATGTTTATGCATGAACCTTATCTTCCTTTGGTTTTCTTGATTGTGCATGAAACTTGTCTTCCCTTTGTGGTCTTGTTTGTGTGTACGTCTTATCTTCCTTCTGTGTTATAATTTGTGTGTGTATCTTATCTTCCTTATGTGTTCTAGTTTGTGTGTGTGTCTTATCTTCCTTCTGTGTTCTAGTTTGTGTGTGTATCTTATCTTCCCTTTGTATTCTTTTGTGATTCAGTGAAGTTGGCCATAAAGAATAAGCTCCTTCTCTGCAAGGGAAAGATGGGAGGCTCCTATGTCTAGGTCCCATATCACTGAACTTGTGGGCAGTTCGGTAGTTATTCAGATGAGCACTTGGTAGCTCAGGCGACGAACCTTGACTGCGAGAGTTTCGTTCAATTAAGCCTTTCCCTGTTGAGGTGGAGCGCTTCCCTGTTGAAGTGGAGCGCCTAATAGAGCTAGACCTGCTTTTATTTGTTGATGATGGTGATGAAATAGAAGGTGGGGTTGAAGAACTACGTTTGTACGAGGTTAAAGGCATTGTGTGCGCCTTGGAACTTCCAATTTTGGCAGATGAATGACTCCTTCGATGGCCAGAGTTATGATCTGTGCTTGAATTTTGCAAACTTGAAGTGACTCCATCAGGCTTGAATCGAGAACTTCCCTGCAAAAGGTTCAAGGAAAAAGCAAAGAATAAGGACTATGCAGAATCAAGAAACTCCCGATCAAGTGATTCCAAAAAATGTAAATGTGGTGAAATGATAAAACTCCATACAAAATGCAAATATCCAAAAACTGGGGCATATGAACTGCCGAAGACACTAATAAGCTAATAAAGCAACAAAAAGAGCCACCAACAGTAATAATCCCGATCAAGAAAGAAACAGATCGGTGGATTTCCATGGTGTGCTGGGCATATCTTAACTGTGAGCATGTTCTTGAACATATTGTACTTACCCTTGAAGTTCCATTAGGTAGCTTGGTCCTGTGCCCAAGGTTGAGTCTTACTGCTGCAGGTTCAGAGTCCAAAGAGGCAAACAATGGGGTATCAGGAGGTGTCAAGAGCCTGATATAAATATAAGAAATGATCAGAGGGTGCTAAAAATAACAAACAAGTAATAAAAATATTAATCAAGCAATATTGCTATCACAAATGGAAAATTAAAATATGATCGCTTCACTACCTTCTACCCATTAATTGGAGTAAAATGGCCCCAAATGCAGAAGACTCAAAAAGGCAGAAGCCAACCAAAAAGTTCAAATTTAAATATGAATTGCCAACCCAAAAAATTTAAATTTAAATTATGTATCGAAATTGTCACTGAAGTGAGATCGACATCGATGAGAGATCCTTATATACAGGGAACTTTATCAAATTACTCATAAGATGTGAACAATTTAACTTCTTACCCAATCTTTTGATTTATTTTTGAAATGCCCATGAGAAAATGCATGAACTTGAGTTGGAATAGTTGTAAATAGAATATTAAATAACTCATCTCTTGTAAGTATTTAAATAAATTCCCTTCAGTAAATTACACCTAACTTTTCAACAATTCAACATTTTACACTTTTTCAACTATCCCAACTCATGATCATGATCATGTGTATTTTGACAGGTATTTTTAAAATTGAATCAAAAGTAGAATGTTGAATAGTTGATCTCTTAGTTTTATCTTGGTAATTTTCTCTTAAATAGATGACTGTTGTTGTTCCTATTAAATCCCTTATACAACAGCGAGCATCATATTCTGCTGTTACTCTACTCCACACCATTGTCATCGGCAGCTTGCTTCTCTTTGAAAGAACCAAGGGAAAAAGTGAAGCTTGAAAAAGTTAAGAATTCAAGGCACAAAGTGCAAATTTCCTCTGAGTAATGTTATGGAGTTATAACTAATATTTGCATTCGAGTTCACACTAAGTTCACAGGTGTTATATCTTCTTCATAGCCCCTTCACAAATCCTAATACTCTATACCTACTTTCCTAATACTCTATGCCTACTTTCAACTCTTCTTTATATCTCTGGCTAGCACCTATAGTAAAAAGAGACGTCGATCAATGGCAGGTAATCTTACAAAGGTCTCTTGTGTCAATTTGGTGGCTGAAATGCAACTTCAAGGGGTGAAAACCTTCAAATTTTGTAATCATATATTTACACTGGCTAATATTTGGGAAAGGGGCTGGCATCGTGGTGATAGATTCCTAAACTATTTTAAAAAATGGGTAGGGCCTGTCTTTCCCACTGAATTACCCTTATAGTTTCATGTTCTCATAGATTCCTTATCTTTTTCTAATTTTCAATGTTTCCCTCACTAAAAAAAACCTATATACCTTCAAAGACAGTAGAGAGGAGAGAAATATGTAGGATATCTTCATAAAAAAAAGAAAGAAAAAGAGATGTATACACTCAAAAGAAGAGAAAGGGAGCCTTAAATTAGCTAGTAGTAGTGTTCAGTGACTTGGCTGAGTAGCTCTGTCTCGCCCTAGTGGCGAGGCGAGTTTGGGGGTAGGTTGTTCACCTGCCCCGAAAAAAACACCCCCCAAATAAAATAAAAATATAAAAATCCAGGAAAAATAGAACTGACAATATATTGCTTAGAAATGAATGTTTAGATTATTTTTTATAGTTTTCAGGGTTTTGAAAATATTTTTTTATTTTTAAATTGAAGTAATAAATCAAAATTTTCAATAGTCCACAGTTCATAGTCTTTTTTTATCTTCTTTTACCGTCAGACGATTTCTATTAACTTTAAATGCAATTTCATGATTTTTATTTATTTTTTAGAATATGTTTTTCCTTGTTTACCTTTTTTAGGGTGTGGCAAGTTCACCCGGATTGCACTTGGCCAAGTACATTGGCCGAGCCGAGTTTTGGAACACTGGCAAGTAGAATATTTTGCAGGAGGTAAAAGAGAGAAATGCAATAAACAATAATGCAAGATGAATAAGGAGAATAACGGAGAAAAACAATTAAGAGATACCAGTTAAACTCGTTCTTCTCCAAATCTAAATTCAGAAGACTGCTCTTATCAGCCACAATCTTAGTGGAAACAGTGAGGACGTTCGAAAAATCCCTCATTCTCTCAGCTGCTCAAAAAAAAAATCCAACGAATTTTAATGCATAGAAAGAGAGAGAAAAAACAAAAAGAGAATAGAGGGAGAGGAACAAAAGAGCAAAGAATAAACCCGAGAGAGAAACTAACAATCGAACCCACAAATGGATCGGTCAATGTCGTCGGAAGAATAAGGGTAGAGATATTTCTTGACGGATGCCGCCTTCACATCCCTGAACAACTCGAGCTGAAGATCGTCGTCAGTTCGAGCTCGCTGTTGCTTTTTTTGATGGTTGTTGGCAATGGCAATGGCTTTCATGTTGATTCCACTCATCTCATCTCATCTCAACTTATCTTATCTCCTTTCTGATGAAAAATGGAGAGGAAAGAGAAAGAAAAAGTAAGTGGAGAGAAGAGAGAAGAAGGAAGTAACTGGTGTGGCTGTTATGGTGTGGTGTTTGAGAGATGGTGAATTGTTAACCGTACAACGCAGGAGGAGGGAGGGACGTGCCTCCTTTCTTCTCGGGCCGCGTTCGTTATAAACGTTTCGGGCGAGGCGCGAACCAGATTAATAAAGACAAAACTGCCCCATTGTTAACAAAAAAAGACGAAACTGCCCCAACGAATCATCAACGTTATTTATGTACTTGCAGTGTTTTAGGCAATTTATATTTTTTCCCATTAACGCCGCAACCACTTGGATATTGAAACCATAAAAAAAGTATACCTTTGTAGTATTTTTAGTATTTGGAGGTCACAAACTCACAATCATTCTCCTCCTTCAAATTTTAAATTGGGTGGTTGTAAATGGATCATTGATCAAACTCAAAATTAAAAAAAATAACATAAATTATATACAATGAGTCTATTTATCTTTGATACAAATTAGTCACAAATTATTTACCATAAAATATAAGATATAGTATCTACTCTTTCCAAAATACAAATTACAATATACACCTTCCATATCAACGTGATGGGTATATTATAGGATTCATTATAAATCCTATTATTGTCATATGTAATTTATGTATAAAAGACAAGTCTCTATATTTTTATGATTAATGGACATCGAGTCCTTTCAGATAAACTTGAAATTCTTCACATGATGTCAAATCTAGATTCATATATCGACTCTTTGAACCTTTAAGTGTTTCGATCCAAGCTTTATGGTCAACGCTCCAAGCTCTCTCCCTCATAACCCAGCCTGTTACTGCTACTAGGGACCAACGTGTTGCTGTAAGCCTTCTATAACCTTACTGTTAACCCCCACGTGTTACTACTACCTCGTCAATGCACAAGCCCAACTAGTGCTGCCTTTCTCATTTCCTCCTTAGTTTTCCGTCTTGTCTTATTGAAGAGATTTGTTACACAAATATGAGAGAAGAGTTTAGAAGAGAGAAGCCATGCCGCCAGAAGAAGCTCTCCTACACCCAGAAATTATACCACGATATCAAGTCAAATCCATCTAGGGAGAAAAAGAGCGTCAGACCTAGAATCAACCAGTCTCCCAGTCAGTCAGCCAAATCCATCCGTGAAAATTCATTTGAAACCCTTCCAGAAAATAAATAAATAAATTATATAATTATGAAAATACCCTGATATGAAGTCAAATTGATCATCTGAAAACCCAGATTTCTAAACTGATCCTTTGAAAACCCTGATCTATAACCAACCCTCTGTTTCAACAAAAAAAAATGCAGAACTTTGACCCCCATAGATTCAGTCCCCAATCGTTTTATTCCGGTTTGCGAGTTACTTTATCCCCCCTTAGATTCAGTCCCCAATCGCTTTATTCTGGTTTGTGGGCTGTTTTATTCTGGTTATTTCGGTTTTGCGAGTTGTTGAATCTGTTGGTTGTTTCAAGTGCCATTCTATTTTTTTCGGCGATCTCGACTGGTTTTTTGCCTTTGGTGAAGATCTGAAATTCATATGTTCCTGAGACATATTGATCTGCCACTACTTTCTGTGCTTGTTGATCAAGCAATATGAGCTTGACAAACATTGATTCTATTAGTCACATTTTCTGTGCTTGTTGATCAAGTAATCTGGGCTTGACAACCATTGATTCTATTGGTCACGCTTTCTGTGCTTCTTGATCAAGCAATCTGAGCTTGACAACCATTGATTCTATTGGTCACGCTTTCTGTGCTTATTGATCAAGCAATCTGAGCATGACATCCATTGATTCTATTTGTCACGCTATGTACCGCTATGTACCTGAAGATTCAACTGCTCATTTCGGCAATTAGTATTCAAACTCCAGCTGCTCTCTCATAACATCTTGAGTTGAGTTTGAGGGAGAGTGTGAAAAAAAAGTATATATTGTCTATCAAGTTAGTATGGAAGGTGTATATTATAATGGAAAAGGTTTCTATGCTTCCCTTGCAGCATAGAAGTTCTATCCTTCCCTTATCATCCAGCCGTCCAATTTTGATCTAGAGAGACACTCACCGTTTGATCTTAGATCTGATGTCTCAAAGTATTTTATTTTTAGTTTTTTTATACAAATTGTATTAATATGAAATTTGGTATATGTCATCTTCTCATTGGGGCGCACTTATAAAAAATATTTAAAATAATTTTCGATAAAATATAATGATCAAAATACCCCTTGAAATTTTTAGGGGAATTTTGGTTATTTTATTTGATTGAAATTTATTTGTTTTTTAATATTTTTCTCTAGTGCTAGTTTAATAGAGGAATGGACATCCAAAATTTGGTTTCAAAATAGTTTATAAAAAAAAATTAAAAATAAAGTAGTGTAGAGACGTGACATTGTAATTGCGGCAATCTTAGCCCTCCATTCAGAATGGACGGTTAGATAAGGGGGATGATAGAACTTCTATGCTGTAGGAGAAGTATAGAAAGCTTGCCCTATTGTAATTTATATATTTGGGTATTGTAATTTATATATTTGGGAATGGTAGATATGATATCTTGTATTTATGGCAAGGAAAGTGTATATTGTAATTTATATATTTGGGTATTGTAATTTATATATTTGGGAATGGTAGATAAAATATATTGTATTTATGGTAAGTCTGGGCATAGTATAGGATTCATTTCTATAAAAAACAAGTATGTATGTTCACATGTTTAATGGACACTAAGTCTCTTCCGAGAAATCTGAGACTCTTCACAACAAACATTCGATATGAAATTTGATAGCTTGGGTGTGTTACAATGTTCGAAAAAATTTCACTTGGTCAATGGAATAAATGCATTAATCTAATTTCACATCTAATTCATTCATCCAAATTCACATCTAATGGTTAAGATTAATTGTGACTATACTAAAAATAAATGGTTCGAAATTTGGGGCAACCTTAAAGGGAAGCCAAGTTTGTTGGGACCCCCATCCAAAAAACTTTTTTTTTCAGCTGGATCGCCGGTAAATTGTGACCACTTTATACCAAAAAAGTGCTCAAGTTTTGTGACACACCCTGAGCCATCCAATTGACATATCATTAGCCGATAGTGACTGTTAACTCCTTGTAACGAATGTTAAATAGTCTTGTAATATAAATATACTCGTGCCAAAATATTTCCCAGTCCCACCAGATATACCACCCATGTATTCCCTTGCTGAAATCCACACAGTGAATCCTCCCCCTTGGGACTCCACACGTGCTTGCAAATCCCATGAAACCTTGGCCTCTGGTCTCTCTCTACTTTTTCATGGAGAAAAAGAAAATGTTTAACTTTCATTTGTGCACCAGACCTTGGCATTTGTCAACCCTTCCACTCCATAACCAAAGAGAGACCAAACCAACAGGCCATTAGAATTATTCACATATTTGCACCAAAAGTAATCAAGACGATTGTGCAAATTTCCAGCAACTAGTCCAAAAACTAACGGGATACCCTGGAAAAAAAGGATGGGGTAACCCCAAAGAGAAGCCAAGCTTGTTGGGTCTATTAGAGTATGTATATCTATTGAGGAATGATTTCATGCAACGGTTGTATAGTAGTGTAATGTAATCATATTCAAAAACCATGTTAGAGACATTTGTATGATCCCAAATTTTACTCACACATTCTTTTCATCCTCATAATCAATCTTATGGAAAATTCAATTTGCACCCTAAATATGGTCAAAATTAGTACCCTTCGACAATGAATTTCGACCGTCCATTTGGTGAATTTCAAGATCTAGGCCTTGACAAATTCAAAATCACCCTTTTCTTTTTTATCATTGTTAATCTAATGATGATAACGCTATATAAAAATTTTGAGACTAAAAAAATCCTTATGAGGCTTATATCTAACCATCTCACTAAAATGGACGGCTTACATTAATTGGGCTAAAAAACACTTTCTACGACAATTTTTCAAAATTTTATTTTCTGTAATTGTTCTTTAGAGTTAAAAAAATGTACATTTAAAAATTTGTGTGAAACAAATGTCTCTAACATGGTTTTTGAAGATGATTGCATTATACTACTATACAAACGTTGCATGAAATCATTCCCTTGGACATTTGAGTAATGATTTCGTATAACGGATGTATCATAGTATAATGCAACCACACTTCTAGAAAACCATGTTTTAGACATTTATATAACTCCAAATTTTGCACATCCATTCTCTTCATCCTCATATTCAATCTTATGAAAACAATTTGTACCCTAGATATGGTCAAAATTAGTACCCTCCAACAATGAATCTCGACCGTCCATTCGGTGAATTTCAAGAACTGGGCCTCGACAAATTCAAAATCACTTTTTCCTTTTTTAGCATTGTTAATCTAATGATGATAACAATATATAAAAATTTTGGAAATAAAAAATTCCTTTTGAGGCTTATATCTAACCTTCACACTAAAATGGACGGCTTATATTAATTGGGCTAGAAAAACACTTTTAGGGTTTTTTTTATTTTTTTTTATTTTTTGTGATTATTCTTTAGAATGAAAAGAGTATACATCTAAAAATTGTGTCAAACAAATATCTCTAACATGGTTTTTTAATTTTGTTGCATTATATTATGATACAACCGTTGCATGAAATCATTGCTCTATATGTATATATATGGAGGTATGTATATGTATGGATATATATCTCTAGAGTAGATTAGTCTCAGAATATCTACAACTCACTCTATTAGAAACATGCTCTGATACCATGTTAGAAACTGTATTTCTATATATTTGGGCCTTAATCCCCCATGGAACTCTCTCTTTATTGATTGATAAAAAATATACAAGAGCGCTGTAAATATACGGCCTTTAACAGTTAAAGATAAATACCAACGGTTATGGATAACTACTAACTAATTTTATCACAATCAAAAAACACTTAAGAGATATATATCCATACATATACATATCTCATTATGTATTCATAATGATGTATATTAATATACATATGCATACTCTAATAATATACAGAAAC